TTCCTCTAAATAAATCTGTCTGGCACCAGGTCTGATATTTCGACACAGACTGCAGTAGAAAAATGTGGAGCACTTTTGAGCCGAGCATTCCAAGTCAACATTCGTTGGACTCAAATCTCGAACTTTGTAATGTAAAGCTCGATGTGAGGATTACATTGCTTGACAATGCTCCTTATTCTAGACTTTCCATCGGATCTATTTACTGTATTATAGTGTTACTATAGTATATTCACCCAATGCTAGTCATAACTGGACTTGGACTGTCACATGGAAGACACAAAAACAAAATATATTGTCATTATGGTTAAATACTTGAAAAGGCCACAGTTGTGGTTGAAACCTCGTAAAATAAACAGAAATTTGAACATACACTAAGTGACATAGAAAAAATGGCATCCAGTAGTAATGAATTTAATACAAGTATTTTTTGTATAGATGTCTCTTGGGGTTAGATAAGTAAATGAACGAAATTTTATAAAAATCCAAATGTTGAAAAAAATTTCAAAAATGAATGATTTGTGTGTCTTAAGCACCCAGAAATACGTCTAGCCATCCTCCTAATCATTTGACTGATTTGCTCTTGAGGTATCTGATTCCAGGCTACTTGTACCTCGCGGGAGACTGTGGAGAATAGAGTAATCGGAGTAACATTCATTCCATAATGTCCTAGACGTGTTCAGTGGTTAAAAGATCGGGAGATCTATCGACCAAGATAATTCTGGCTGTAGTGGCGTTACATTATCTTGTTGGAGAAGTGGGTTGGTAAGCATCCGTATATAAGGCAAAACATATGATTTCCTCAACTCCTGGATGTCGCCTCTGATGAACGCCAAAGGTGACCTACTTCTATAAGCAATAGCCGCCGATACCATGATCCCAACAGTGTGGAGCACATACGTTTCCATAAAAAAAAGAGAATCTCGTCGCATTCTCACCCTTGCATGGCCATCATGCAACCCCATACAGAATTTAGATTCTGAACAATGGTATTCCAGTAGAGGTTCCAATTCAGCCGTTCTCTGCACCAGGCCAGTGGATCACGTCGGTGCCTAGGAGTGAGAAACGGCAGAAGCTGAGGACGGTTATATATATATATAGTTTTGCCAGAATTGTTGCTGTTTTCGATTGGAGGGCGTAGCTGACTCACCTACCCAGACTAGGTAGAAGAAGTTGTTAGTCTCCAAAACCTCCGTAGTCAGGATGAAAGTGCAAAGTACAAGTGGACCTGACATAAGTTAATTTGTTGACAGTTGGCATTGAATTCGTATTTTTAGAGTTGTTTTTTAAAAGTGTAAGTTTTTGCAGATATTTGTGGTGTCCTACGATGTCATAACATGATACTTCTTGCATAATTTGCAAAGAGCGGCACAAGCTTAATAAATTTAGATCTTTTCACTGGTAAGTATCATTACTATATCGATACAACTTTGTCACTTTGGTAGGCAATTGTGGTCAATACAAATTCGTTGCACCTACCTCTCCACACTCCCTACATAACGATATTCTGCAAGTCTCATGGCGACAGAGTCCAGTCGCAGTGTTCCAACACATTTTTCACTGCAATACGTGAAACATGTTACTAAAACGTTTATTTGGGTGCTTGATGTAATTATTCATTGTAATAGCTAGTTAACAAACGTTCGATAGCTAGCGGAAACCTTGAAATATAAAAATAATTTGCAATTGTACTGAATATGCAGCAATTAAATAATACGGAATGAGGAGACATTATTTCTGACATAAACTGGAAAATGAGATTCAAATTAGGCCAGATGATATTTTGAATTGTAGTTGAATGCTGATTATATGAAATGTGCAGGTTACCCATACAAAATAATAGAATAATGTCCTACAAAGTTAGTCAAGAAGTTGCTGCTCGGCTACACTACAAGATGTTTCTTGAAAAATTGTAACTATAACGGTTATTACGGTCGCCGGATACTAATAACTTCAAATATAAAATTGTAACTTGGAAGCACCGAGTCGTCATTATATCCAATAATTGCAGGTAATATACGTTAATCAATGGTAATTGTTGATTCACAAAGTTTTGAATAGATATCGGGCGTCATTGTAACAAAACCGCAAATTCGAGTGGGTAACATTTTGATCTCAATATAATTTGATTAGAGATTTGACCTACGATGCATTAATTTGGCAATAATACTACACGAAATGAATAATCTCATCTGTTTTCGGTCTCTCAAGCTAATATTATACCGGGTGTAAACGTTATGGTAGCCATTATTGAAATGGGTAATAGGGAGGGTCATATAAGTACTGCTAACACCGTCCCGTTGCCCTTGTGATTAGCGCCGTCCATCCGGTTTCTAGTTACAGCGTTAGGTGTTATCTTTGTGAGAACATTCCTGACTTTGCATTTTGCTATATTTTACTTCTTATAAACTGAATATGAAATGTAACTAGCGTTGTTGTCATCCTGTTTTTATCCAATAAAGTTCCTGCTATAGTTTCGAACCGAAACCACACTGAGTTTCATTTCTGGCGCTGCGAACAGGATCCCAGGCTTGGTTTCTGTCACCATTGTGAGAAATATCTAATAGACGAGCTGCCCAGCGTTGTCTCCGAGAAAGCCAAAGAGTGAGTTCCTGAGAAAACTGAAGTTAGTACCAGCGAAAGCCAAGAGTTAGTATCAGACGTCGGGAAGGTCCTCCTGTTCTACTTGGACTCTCCGAGTGCCAATATCAAGTGAGAATTTCTATTCTCTTACTGGGAATTCTACCAGAAACTGTCCAGAACCATTGCTTTGGAATCGAAGACAAGATGACCAGCCTCTGGATGAAGCAACAATTGATGTTACTGTCCTTGTAAGTAGTTAAGAATTACTATTAAGAAGATTTTGCAACTAAGCAGATTTAATACGTAACCATAAGAAGAATTTATCAAAAAACTCATTTCTACATTTCTACATTTTTACAAATTAGTATATAGCGAAGTTAGTATAAATTATATTATGTTAAAAGCTCTCCACATGTTTCAGGCAGCTCTTCGTCAATTACGACTGACCATTAAGAGCTTCTCTCAAGTGTTTTTTTCCGCATCAGAAGGCGATCAGAGATCTGGCAATTTTCTACTGAGCTAACTCCATGGATATTCTAGGCATGCTTTTAGTATTCTTTCTACTAATGTTTAGTTAATAGGATATCAAAATGTTCAAGAATCTATTATAAGAGCTTGTTTTCGGTCTGTCCTTATACTATTCAAAATTATGAGAAAACCAATATCAAGACATGAGAGGCTCAGCGCAACTCTACGCTTTTTAGCAACAGGAAAAAGCTATGCTGACTTTTCATGTGCAATATCTCGTCAAACACTTGGTGAAATTATACTGGATACATGCAGAGCTATTTACGAAGGATTAAAAAATCAATATTTGAAGGTAAAGTAAAGTATTTTATTAAAAACAGTATAACGTATACCTAATTATACAGGGTGACTTCGAAGTTGAGTCATTTATTTTAACAGTGAGTAGATCTGATCAAAAGAAATGTTTTTTTCCTTTAACATTTTTGTGGTAAAATTAAAGTAACAAAGTTATAGCCCTTTAGAAGTTTGAGTACCGCCCTGTCTCAATAATAATATTATGTGCTCGTGTTTGGCAACAACGGATATAATCCGCCTTATCGGTTCATCGCATCGGAAACAAAAAAGCGAAAGAATTTGAAACGCTTATCACGATGTTTTTACTACAATTTTATTCAGTTGTATTCAGTCAATGTGTCAGTCGGTAACGCGTGAGTGAATAGTGGTGTTTGCTGCGTGGCGAAATAAAAAATGGAACATGTTTACGAAAATGCTGAACTTGTGGACATGATTCTTATTAACGGGGGGGAGTCTTTACAAAATGCTGCCGCGGCATCACGGATTTATGCGGATCGGTTTCCCAATCGAGTGCAACCAACTCCTCGTGCCTTTGTTAATGTAGTACAAAGGGCTCGTGAATCAGGTGACTTAAGACCTCACAGGGGTGGGCATGCCGGTGCTCCAAGACCGCACGATCAAATACAGGTCCGCACTGAAATACTTGTCGGGAGGATACTTTATAAAACAAGGTAACATTTTTTTTTTTATTTTTTTATTTTTACACACATATTTTGGTTTATCTTCCTTCTACAATCATTATCTGAAAATTAATGACCCAACTTAATTTAATTATTATCTAGAACGTAGTATCTTGAATAATATTCTCCAAGGGATTGTGAGAGGTCATTGGTTGCTTTCCAATTTCAGTTCCAATGGGCGATCGAAACCTTCCATGATCATACTGAAAAGTGTCTACTCCGCGAATTATTGGATTTAATCCCCCCAAGCGTTGTAACGGTTTCGTAGGTCCTTCTGGTGTCGATCTTAAAAGTTCAGTATTACTGGGCCGACTAACCTCCTGATTATACTGAAAAGTGTGTACATCAGGAGTTGTTGGTGTTCTATCTGTTTCGATCTGGGTCACGATTTTTGATGTCTGCATTAATCACCTTTCTGCAATATATAGCCATCTCAGAAGGCATTTCCTGAAGTTCTTCGCCTACATGTTGGCCGAAACCTGCATATTTTCCTTGAGTTTGAAGTTTACTTGCTACAATATTTAAAACTTCATCGCTGCGATCCAAATTCTTTTGACTTTTTCTCTTGACACTCATTCTGGAATTTGATGTTGATGTGGATGGGGTGGCTGATAGAGGTCGTAGTGATGTTTCGGATGAAGAATGGTCGTTTAAATTGTCTTCATGTTCGGTGAATTGGTTGTGGTCCTAAAAAAAATCAGATTATCAACTTATTTCATACTTTAAAGATTTACATAAAATCCTTCATGTTTGTTAATGCAACTATACTTTATTTAAGGCTTTTAATGGACTTTTATACTTTTTGATACTTTAAATAATAGCTATTTAGGACTGTGTTGGAGTATATTTGCTTATTATGTTTAAAAAAATTATTTACAAAACGTATGTATTTTAATTCATCATTCTTATTTCTTCCAGTTTCCAAGCAGCGAAGAAGAATGGAGAAGAATTGCTAGGGAATTTGAAGGAAAATGGCAGTTTCCCAATTGTTTAGGTAGCATTGACGGTAAACACATACGAATATCGCCACCGCAAGATGCTGGTTCTTTTTACTGGAATTATAAGGGATACAATAGCCTAGTTTTAATGGCCATTGCTAATGCGAATAATTTATTGTCATATGGGCACAAATGGTCGCGTTTCGGATGGAGGTGTAATTGAAAACACTAAATTTTATGAAAAACTTGTTAAAGAAGAGTTGCGATTACCTACTTCTTCCCCTGAAAAAATAGTTCCACTCAGCTTCCTTGGGTTTTTATCGGAGATGAAGCATTTTCACTGCGTAAAAATTTACTGAAACCATTTGGCTCGCGAGATTTGACAAGAGAAAGAAAAATGTTCAACTATCGTATGTCTAGGGCACGCAGAATCATCGAGAATGTTTGTTGGTATAATGGCTGCCCGATTTAGAAGCCTTCATACAGAAATTAATTTAAAATTGGACAGTTTAGATTTAGTGGTGTTGACGTGCGTTGTTTTACATAACTGTTTGCGAAAAAAATGATCTGATTCGTATACTCCCCCCGAGTCCTTAGACGAAGAAGATTGGACACAATCAGAAGTTCTTACAAGGCTGCGAGTTGACCCTGGTATTTTAAGCGGACTACAACGTGCACACAATCTAAATACTGCACAAGAAGCTAGTGAAGTTAGAGAGTTATATGTGGGATATTTTAATGGCGAGGGTCAAGTAAACTGGCAAAATAATATGATTCATTAGATCTCGTATAATAAAATAACACTAATAAAGCATTATAACGTTGTTGCTTTCCATTTAAAATGAATAAATTTATACTTACATCTACTACTGGACTTTCATTTATAGTATCCATCCCATCATGTCGCGGTGTCTCCTGGTCAGTCAAAAACATCAATAAATTAAAATACCAGAGATTTGGCCTACACAAGTCTTCTGCGCCCATACCCGACTGCGCACTTCTAGTTTTCTTTAACTCTTTGCGGAAACAAGTACGCAATGAATTGATTCTTTTTATTACGGCATCTTTATTGGCTGCGGGATCTACCTCTTTTAATTTTTCTATGAGTATCTCATATGCCCCATTTTTCTTATGTTTGTCCGAGTATTCTTTGGATTTTACCTTCCAAAGGCATGGATTTTCTCAATATAAATTAATGAAGTCTATGAGGAAGTCTCTCGACATAAGCCGTAGGTCCGACATACTTGAACTCACTAATTAATAAACTAAATAACTATATAATCTTCTTAATTTTAACATAAAAATGGAGGAATTATAATTAAACTGGCTGAGGAACACCACAACACACTCAAAACTGCATTCGAAAAGAAAATAGGAGATGAATACAAAATCACAGAACCTACAATGTTTAGACCGAAGATCAAAATTGTCAATTATAGATGCACGGAGAAACCACATGAAGAAGACATAGAATTAGATCTTATCCAACAAAATCATTTTATTGAAAAAGATGACATCAAAATCAAATATGTAAAGTATCTCCCATCGAAAAAATGTTACACATTATTTGCAGACATTTCATGCAAATTATTCAGGGCAATATTTGAAGATAACAATGGAAAAATTCTTCTTGGATGGCAATGTTTACCAGTGTATGATAATAACGAAATAACGCAATGCAAGAAGTGTCTTCGCTTCAATCACACCGAGAAAAAATGCCGCAATAACAAGACCTGTACCAACTGCAGCAAAGAGGATGTACACGATACTGACTGTTGTAAGCATGAACCGGTTGTATGTTGTAATTGCAAATTTTCAAACTATAGATATAACAAAAATTATAGTACCAACCACTCACCATTAGATAAAAAATGTCCAACTTTTCTATATTATCAACAGCAGTACTACTTGAAAATCCTTTTTTAAGAAAGAAGAAATGTTAGCCAAAATTATTTAGTACTAATACTGCTCATGATACTAGCGAGCTAGATTCTCTTTTACAAAATCCTGAAATATCTGTTAGAATTTATCATATGAACATCAGAAGTATAAAACATAACTTTGACTACTTTAAATTAATTTTGAAAAGAATACAAAGTGATATAGATATAATCATTCTATCCGAAACATGGCAAGTGGGCGATGTGACTCTGTTTCATTTAGAAGGGTACGATACATTGTATAATTTTGGTAACCATAATCAAAACGATGGAGTGATGGTGTATGTACGAAACAATCTGCCTTATAAGCATACCATATTTACAATCAACAATGAACTAAAAGGTATCAATCTAACAATGCAAATTGAAAATCGTAGAGTCAAAATTACTTGTGTTTACCGACCACCATCTTCAGATCCTCATACATTTATAAGAGACATAGATGAACTATTAAAAAACAATGAAAACAATCACCTTCATAATCAAATATTTATAGGCGACATCAATATAAACATTTTAGAGGAAAATTCTATCGTGAAAGAATATTTAAACATTTTATCAAGTAATGGTTTTTTATCATACATAAATAAAGTAACACGACCCACCAGTAAAACCTGCATTGATCACTGCTTTATAAAAGATATTTCCAATATTTTTTCTTACATGCCTATTATCTATGAAACCGATATTACAGATCATTATTCCACTGTATTATTGATATCTTCACAAAATAAAAACCAGAACTACCCAAAGGCAAAAAATGAAAGAAACCTTGAATACAAATATTTCACTGACAACTCAAAATTAATATTTAACGCACAAACGGAATCGTGGGACGAAATTTTTTTAACAAATTCTGTAGACGAAGCTACAAATTTATTAATACACAAAATTCAAAAAGTAATTGAAGTTAGTACTAATAAGGTTAAAATAAGTCACAAGGAAAAAAGCAGAAATGATTGGATGACCAAAGGACTAATAAAATCTGCAAACGAAAAAGAAAGACTGTATAAAATCATGAAATATTTACCCACGAAAGAAAATATAGATCTTTATGATCAGTATAAAAACAAATTTATAGAACTTTTGAGAAAAGCAAAAAAAAATTACTATATAAAACAATTGAATAATAATTCACATGACTCTAGACACCTATGGTCCACTGTCAATGATATATTCAATAAGTCATCCTATTCAAAAAACAATATTAATGAAATAAAAACAAAAACAGGACAGAAAACAGACAATATTCAGCAAATATGTGATGAGTTCATAGAATTTTTCACGAATATAGGAGGAAACTTAGCAAATAATATCAAACAAAATGCTGATATTCATCTGCATGAAACAAGACTGAATAATTCATTTGTATTAACTGAAGTAGACTATCAGGATGTTTTCAATGCCATTATGATTCTAAAAAATAAAAAAAGCCCTGGAGTTGACGAAATTAGAGCTGAACATCTAAAGATACTGGCCAAACAAATAACAGAACCACTTGCTTATATCATTAACAAATCCTTCCAAGCTGGAGTATTTCCATCAGCTTTCAAGACAGCAATCATCATACCTATCTATAAATCTAATGATAATACGGACGTTACTAACTATCGACCTATTTCACTTATATCAAGTTTAGCTAAAGTTTTTGAGAAATTACTCCTTAATAAAATGATTAATTTTCTTAATAAATTCAAAATTCTAAATTCAAATCAATATGGTTTTATAGCGGGCAAATCTACAACAGATGGGGTATTAAGTATAGTAGATGAAATAACCCAAAATATAGATGGAAAAGTACCATCGATATGCGTATTTGTGGACTTACAAAAAGCGTTTGACACAGTTAACCACAATATACTTTTGGAAATCTTAGAAAGAATAGGTTTTCGTGGAAAGATGTATACTTTAATGGAAAATTATTTATCAAATAGACCGCAATCAGTAAAATTATTAAGCTCGTATAGTAAAGAAATGTTTGTTAAATGTGGTGTTCCACAAGGTACAATTTTGGGTCCTCTGTTATTCAATATTTATTTAAACGATATATTCAAAATTAACAGAACTGGTAAAATAGTCAGTTTTGCAGACGATACTGCTATACTCTATAAAGGTAAGGATTGGAACGACTTAAAAGATATTATCCAAAATGACTTTTGCAAAATTATTCAGTGGTTTAATAACCGAAAATTAACAATTAACTTTACTAAAACTCATTTTTTACCATTTTCATCACTATCTAATCATCTACCAAAATATAACCACCTTCGGTTTAAGCTAAATGATAAAAATATAAAAATCAATAGAGTTAATGATACAAAATATTTAGGAATTTATCCAGATCCCCACTTGAGATGGGATGTACATATATCTCACATACTAAAGAAAATTAGATTCATAGCATATAAAATAAAATTTCTAACCGGTATATTAACTGAATATTATCTACGAATAATATATCAAGCTTTAGTCGAGCCACACATAACATATGGTATAGTAGTGTGGGGTGCTGCATGCACGACATACTTTAACGATTTAGATGTACTTCAAAGAAGAATTTTAAAATCAATGTTAGGCAAATCAAAATTATACCCAACTAATGACATATATAATGATGCACAAGTATATGATACTAAACAACTTTACTTCTTACATACCATCACTCATTATCACAAAACTATTAGTGAACACGACATAATTAAACATAATCATAAAACCAGATATAAATTACGCGCAAAAAATGTTCCTAAACCAAACAAATCCCTAATGAAACGATGTCACCTGTATATAGCTCCAAAATTGTACGAACATTTACCAAATAATTTAAAACAATTACGCAATACATTAGGCTTCAAAAAAAAATTAAAAAAATTTATTAACACGATTGGGAGAAATCAAATTAATAAAATAATCTCAAATATTACACAATAAATGCTCTACCATTCTTACCAATAATTTATTTTTTCTCTCTATTTTATTATATTTTGCAATTCAACATACATATGATCCATGCACAGGCGTTGTCCTCCTATGGATATATTATATTTATTTACTCGTTTCATGTTCCCTGTATTTTAGAGTAAATAAATATTATTATTATTAAATATTATTATATATATTATGTGCGC